TGGGCTGCTCCACATAATGTGTGCCAACAATGGGTTTTATGGTGGGAGCCTTGGGCCGTGGCAGATAGTCTATGTTAACAATGTCAGCACTGTCCATACAGATACATTGGGAAAGGACAACCGGAAGCTTGTGCCTGGGGTCTCTCCTGGACTCTGTGCCATGTACCTTTGATAGTTGCTGACTTCAGTCTGTCCCTGTTTGCTGTAATAAGCCTTAACCATCACAGGTTTTCTGAAATCCGTGAGTCTTTCTCGTGAATCATTGAGCCTGAGGGTGGTTTTAGGGATTCCTGACATACCATATTTTATATCCATACTATTTATACTGCTATCTTTAGTTCTTTGTATGTTTAACTAATACACTTAAACCTCTCCTTCCAGAAACCCTTTCCTTTCTGGTAAACATCCCCTTTTGTAGCTGTTACACTTCAATTTCACATTGTTACTGGAAATTTACATCTCATCCTGCAACAATAACCAATCTGTCAATGTCTAGTGTGTAGATTGACTTTAGAAATTGAAAACCAAACAACAACAAAAAAATCACATTCTGATGTCTATGCAAATATCTGTCAATGCCAGGTCAAGAAGACGGGTACCACTGTCGTGTTTCCTTGTCCATCAGTTGGATGTGATGACTCCCTGGGCCACTTGAAAAGAGAACTTCCCTAGCATGGATGTCCAATATTTCTTACTATCAATTGGTAAAATTATAATATATTTTACTTTGCTTCTCATCTTGATCATAATAACTTTCTTGTATGGGGAAATAGTTTTTTTCTCCTGCTGTTTCTAATTGCTTTGCCTTATTTTCCTATATTATTTATCGTTATCAGATTCAATTTTCTGTAAATTCTCAATCACACTGTCTAATATGTTACTTGCACACACACACACACACTTTTAAAAAATTTTGGAGTCTTCTCTCCCATAGCCTGCCATTCTCCTACTCCAATCTAGACTGACTGCCAATCAGGCTTCCTGCCCAGTTGGCATCCCTGGTATTTCCTGTCACTGCTCTCCTGGGTTAGACCCACTGTTTTGTGGATAACATCTTCCTATTTCTTGGCTTATGCCCTGGTTTTGCTGGAGAACATCCTCAAGTAGTTTCCTAAGAAAGGATGTTTGAGATGTAAATTTTCATAGCTTTTGTATATCTGAATATTTTTATCCTATCATCACACTTGATGGATATTTTGGCTGAATGTAAAATTTTAAGTTGAAAACCATTTTCCCCTGGATTTTTTTAAAGAAGTGACCTCTTGTCTTTCATCATCCAGTATTGTTGTGAAGTCTGATGTTATTCTGATTCCTGTTCCTTTTTCTTGGTTTTACCTGTCAAGGATTCTTGTTAGCTAGACAGGAACTTTAGGCAGCCATCAGTTCATGATAATAGGGAAGGAACAACTCAGAAAAAGTGAGTGAGAATGGTTGCATAACTCAAAGAATATAACCAAATTGTCCACATATAAACTGAATTGGTGTATGTTTTGCTGTGTATGTTCTCAACAAGAACAAAATCGTTTTTAAAGAAAGAACTTTTGCTAGTTGCTTGATGGATTTCCTAGATAACTCTTCTAAGTGTTTATATTTTCTCTATTTTCCTGTCTCTGATCTGTTCTATTTCCGGAAAGACTTCAGTTTTATCTTTCAGTCTTTTCTATTGAAATTTTAACTTCAATAAACACATTGTAATTTCCAATGATTCTTTCTTGCTCTCCAATTGCTCCTTTTACGTCATATTCTGTTCTTGTTTTGTGGATACATTATTTTCTTTTACTTCTCTAAATAGGCTAATTCAGTTAATTTTTTTTCCCTCTGTGTTATGTTCATTTTCTGGTTTTCTTTTTTTTGTTACTGAATATATATTTTTTTATTATTATTGCAGTGTCCCCCCCCCCAGTAACCAACAAAGAAAGTTTCCTTCCTTTCCTTGACTTTTTCCAGTAATGAACTTATACTGTATTTGTCCTTCTGTGATCGACTTATTTCACTCAGCATAACGTCCTCCAAGTTCATCTATGTTATGCAGTGTTTTCCAGCATTTTCAGATATTCTTCCACATTCTTTTTTCCCCTGAATATTTATCTTGCCTTTTGTTCATGTTGAAGGCTTTCTTCCAATTTCTGACCATCCTCAGTGGTCAGTTCACATATTAAAAAAATAAAATAAATAAAGGACCAAAAACTAGTGTGGATTCTGTGTGGACTTTCTGGCAGTGTATCCGACAAACGGCTCCCACCTCTTCCGGAGTGCCCTTGTCAAATATTCTAGGCTGTATTTTTCCTATTTTATTTATCAACTCATTTCTGTCTGCTTTCCAAAAAATTGTTGAAATCTGTCCATTGATGACAATCTCCTCTTCCTTACCACATTTTCTTTATTCTTATGGGGTTATTCCTTTCTGTTCTTCTGTGCTTTTAGTGGGCAACATTTCATTCTGTTATACATGAGCTCACCATGAATTGGAGTTGACTTGAGAGCACCTAACAACAGCAGCAAGGATAAAGAAGAGTAACTGCGTGTGTGTGCGCACATGCACTCATGAGTGTGTACATGCTGTGTTATATCAGAATCAATTAATTTCTTATGTTTTTCTTCTTTTCTAATAAATGTTGTTATATATTGATTTATATAGATGATCACTTTGGCCATATCTCATAAGGTTTAATATCTAGGGCTCTTGTGGTTGTTAATTTGTGAGTTTATCATTTTATTTTTTGTTTCCTCTTTAACTCAAGTTATTTCCAAGCCTGTCTTAAAACTCCCAAGTAGAAAGGGGTTTCTGTGTGTGTGTTGTGTGTGCCTATTCTTTTGTTTCTAATTTTTAATGTTCTTAAATTGTTTTCAGAGACCGTGATCTGAAGGATTTCTACATTTTGGATTTACTTTTCTAAATATCTATTTTCTATGAGTTCAATAGAGCGTCATTGAAAAAGAGAAAGACCCTCGATGAGAATGCATTGACGCCTTGGCTGCAACAATGGGCTCAAGCAGAGCAAGGATTATGAGGGTGGCGCCAGAGCGGGCACTGTTTTGTTCTGTGGTACGTGGGGTCACTAGGACTTGGAACCAACTTGATAGCACCTAACAACATCAGTTCAAGGGATTTTAGGCAGATGGGGTTGAAGTTGTGCTCAGCCTGCCATATTGATAAAAAATCTTTGTCAGTTGCCATCCTAGACTCTGTTTTAATGAGATCCCTTGTTCTTGCTTTTGTCCCACTATGGTGGACTCTCCACGCTGCCCCTACAGAGTGATTTTCCTAAAATATAGATCTGATGACGTCAGCCCCCAGTTCTCCTGGCGGTGGGGCTGCCTCTCCCCCCACCTTCCCTACACCTCCATCTTCGTCGCCGTCATGGCAGGCAGTCTTTCTCGGGGCGTTTGATTTGCTGTTGTTCTTGTTGCGAGTCGCCATCAAGTTGACTCTGACTCCTGGTGTCTTTATGGACAACAGAACAGAACTGTCCTGCACCATCTTCCTGATCACTGGAATGTTTGGGTCCACTGATGTGGCCATTGTGTCCGTCCATCTCAGGGAGGCTTACTCTCATTTTCGTTGGCTCTCCACTTTACTAAACACGATGTCCTTTTCTAATGGATGGTCTTTCCACATGATAAGTCCAAAGTAAGTGAATCGAAGTCTTGCCATTCTCACTTCTAAGGAACATTCTGGTCATATTTCTAGTATGACTTATTTCTTCCTTCCTTGGACTTGCCTGGAATGTTCTTTGCCCGGATATCCGTATGGAGGAATAAAATGAATGAGAAAGCCTGAGGAACGCCAAATAGCACCTGCTTCATCCTTGCTTTATCTTTTTCAAAGTCCTTGTTACCATGTGACACTTTATGATATACTTATTTGTATGTTTAGCATGAATCTTCCCTGCAAGAATGTTAATTCGCTGTCTTGGATATTTTGCATCCAGATCCTGGAACAGGGCCTAGCATATTCAATAAATGAATGGAGGAAAAACCAATGAGAATCAGAAGTTCTTTGGTAAGCACAGTAACAGCACAAGGAGTATTGGATGAAGTGGGTGTTGAATGAGTCTCAGGATTGGATCACCTTAGCAAATAGTCCTGTCCTGATCATCCCATGGCCTAAAACTCTTCTCATGCTCTTAGATATTGTCCAGAAATAGGATTGCTGGGTCTCAGCTCCCAGAACCCCTCTAAGAAGTCTTCCCTCTTCCACCAAGCAGGGTGAAGTCCTCCTTGGCTACACCTCCAGCAAACCATCTATTCCAACAGTTGCGGGGTTCAGAGGCCTCGGCGTGCATCCTCTTTCCCCTACCAGAGTTCCACGAAGACAGGGGCTGTGATCTGTCGTCTAGTGCCTGCCCCTCGGAGGGTCTGGCACCCAGCAGGCTCAGAGGAAAGAATGCAATGGGTAGGCCCCTGAAACCAGGGTCCCTCGGCTGTGCCAACGTCAAGCAACTTTACTGCTTCTAGGAAGGGGTGATCGTGAGAAAATGCGGGAGAAGTGAAACACTCTCAGCGCGCTTTGCGCGTGTTTGGACGGCAGGCCAACCGACCGGGCGGGCAGCGTAAACGAGCGCTCCTAGCCTAGGCCTTCACTCGCCCTAATATCCGCAAGGGCCCATCAATCCCAAGCATTCAAATTCCGCCCACTAAACCAGCCCCTCGGGGACCCAGCAGCCTCTTTTTCCCAAATGACGGCCGGCGGCAGCCAATCGGCAGCTGAGCGGGGATTCCGCCCCCTTTTCCCTGGACGTAACTGAAGGGCGTTCTCGCCAATTGGC